AGACTGGACATGTCTTTTAAACAAAAGGTGTGGTGCCAACTAAACAACTGTCATCACCATCAGAACACTGTTTCTACAGGGAAGCATGGCTGTGGTTGCATCATCATATAGGACATATAGGAAGGTTTATGTTTATCCGCAACATCTGAGAAATTGGACAAAATTATAGACAGTGCTGAATACTGAGAACTTTTTAAGGAAATGTGTTTTAGTCCTCCAGAGTCTTGAGACTCAGTTTTGACAAACACAGTGGTACATGTTACGCTACTCAAGAAACACTCTTGCATTAGCACGGATCCTGATCTGTTCAGGAACGTTTGGTATGATTTAAAGACAGATGCACACAAACAGAATAGAATGTGCATATTTAGTTGCTGTTGCTATTTGTGCTTGCAAATAACTATACAATTATATTTAAATAACTGTAATGACTTGATGTTCATGTAAACGTTCATAAATTAGCATTAGTATGAGCTGCTATGAAATATTTCAAATTGGAGTTGTTTTAAGACAGTAGCAATCCATCTTGGTTTTTGTCCTGCTCAAACCAGCCATAAGCTTGTTAGTCTGGTCAGAACTAAACAATTTCTCCAAACTGAGGTTGTTGAACAAACTATGTACAACAGGTAAGATATTTTTCACTTTTAACCCTTTCATAGAATTCTAAAAATCTGAGCCTTTTTTCTGACCGAACATTTTAAAACCCTTAACTTTTCTAAAAATTCCTTCATTTTGTGTTTAGATAGTGGTGTTGGTGGGGAGCTGTTTTCACAACACACTATCTGCTAGATATGTTAACTGGACGGCCTTGTGATTGTGAATGCATTATAAATTATTATACAAATGATTGTTGCAGCCACTTTCCACAGCATCACATTTTAAAGTTTGCTAATGACTCTGTCATCCTGTCCTATCGGTAATAGGTAGACGCGTCCTCCTCTGCTCTGTCCCTGCTTTGCTCTTTGTCTTGTGAACCTTTTTCAGAGCCCCCTTATTTTTTATACCTTCCGAATTGTTTAATGATGGATTTGATCAGCTGGTCTTTCAATGAAATGTATCCATTTTTCTCTACACGTAGTCAGGGTGAAGGAGAACCCTCTTACCTCGACAGAAACATAATTGGATCTATGATAACTGGATTTTACTGTTTGGAGTTGGTGGAAATCTGGATTGTTGATAAATTATGTGGAGAATATGCCGAGCTTGGCAGCACTCAGACTACAGGTATGTGCGAACTATATGTGGTGCTGTATCAGAAGCTGAGCAGGCTGATCCTTATCAGGACTGTGGAACTTTCCTGGCAGTGTCCACGAACGGTTGGAAGGAATAAATCTTGGGAGACGTTGTAAGCTCGACTTGGTGTAAGTAATCAAATTCGGCTGTTTGGAGTTGCCATGAGAGAATGTACTAGCAAGACTGCTAAGGCAGACACGGAAATTTACGAGTTCAGCCTGACCCCAAACAATGTTGATATTTGAATCTGGACCTGGCCTTGGAAGGGTGACTATCTCAATTTCTCCTTGGATGTTATGGAAACAAAGTTGCTTTGCTCCCCTCCTCATCCCGTCCCTTCCCCAAGGTCGTGGACCTGTGGCAGAGCTCAACCGAGCTGGATGATAAACAAACACCTCTTATCAGGGCAATGGCGGCCGGGGGTGGTGGTGGTGGTGGGGGCTCTGGACTGTGCAGTGCTACAACCTTCCCTCAAACTCAATACCTCCGCTGACCTCCCCACTCCACATGCATATGTATTATGTTTATTTATGTTGCTTTGCTGTGGTAGATTTTTTTTGATTCCTCAAACTGTGCCCTGTCAAAGACAAGGTGCAAGAGATCTTTTTTTAATACCTCTCTCCTTATGTTTTCTTCCCTTTATCTTATCTAAGCAACAGGGACAGCACATCTTAGAAGCTGCAACCCCCTGTACACTTCTGTCCATCTTTAGAATGGCTGTAGGGAAATTAACTTCATTGTACTTCACAGTGCAAGGATAATTAACATTCTGATTCTGATTCAGTTGCTGCTCCTGTGGTCATTAACGGTGAGGTTGTCGAGGTAGTGCAGCAATATAAATATCTGGTTCTCGATGACAAACTGACCTTTGTGAGTGTGCACTCACTTTGTAAGAAGGTCCACCAGTGAATGTATTTTTATTGCAAGTTCTGTGGTTTTAATGCTGATTCTACTTTTATGAAAATGTTTTAATCATGTTTTATTGAGTCTCTTTTAACTTTTGCCTTCATCTGTTGGTTTGGACTTTTGACACGCAAAAAAAGGAACAAACTCTCAGCAACACTGCTGGCATAGCCCTACAGAACCTCACTGACCTACACAAGGTGAGCTCAGTAGACAAGGCCAGGCTGATTCTGGCAGATCCTGATCACCCACTCCATGGTGAGTTCAGGTTGCTTCCATCTGGACGCAGGTATCTGCTGCCCAGATGTAGAATGAACAGACTGAAAAACCTGTAGTGTTCAGGCTTCTCAATGAAGACTGATGATTTCTGTAGTTATTTTAATGTCTCAATGTCTTGTCTAGTACAGATGTTTTGTGTCTACTGACTGTGAAACAAATTGCCCTTTGGGGATAATAAAGATTTTTGAACTTGAACTTAGCAGCATCCTTTTTAATTCTTTTCAAATCTCTAAATGACCCATGTTGTCTCTTGGATCGCAGTGTTGTCTTCCTGGAAGACAATTTGCCTGCTGAGGGAGAACGACATCATCAAAAAGGTAATCACTCAATCAACTTTGTATCGATCTGAAGTGACCCTTCATTCAAGAGGAGCAAGTAAATCAAAGGTTTTGCCTGACTGGGCTTTTCTATTTCCTCTTTACAGAGGACAGGTTTTGCACTTGTCAGTTTTTAAACTACAACTACTTTTAGCAAGTATTGTGACGTTTAAGGTTTTCTTTAATTCAAGATATTGGCTGGTGATTACAGCCTCTGAGAATTTTAAGTACAGTCCAGGTGATGATAAAATTGTAAAAAAGCAAGAAAGAAGTAAAAATCAGGGTTAGAAGGCACGGAGACCATGAACAGACCACGTGACGCAGAGATTAAGAAGTATATTACCAAGTGTATTCCCTCTGTTAATGTACACATATTTAGTCATCTCACTGGAACACTTTACAATAACATTTAGAAAGAACAGGAAGATACTGGGAGAAGCATGTTTGGAATGGAAAAGGAAAGGAACCAGACAAACATGACATGAGAGTAAATCATGGAGTCCTTCAAATGAAATGGCTGCCATCGTCTCACGGCACAGAAACAGGAATTAATATAAAACAAAATAAAAATGGAACGTGGACATAACTAACTTTTTCAACTGGACATGGAAACTAATATCTGACGTACAAAGAATTGATGCAAGACAAAACAAATTTATAAAAAAAGGAAGAAAATTGGGATGACAAAGAATGGAGTAAAGGAAAAATGTATCCCCTATAGAAAAAGAGACATGTTGTATGTTCATAACTGAAAAACTCAATTACCAGAAAAAAAGGAAATACATAGAAATTTCAGTATCCCAGAATCATTGTCATTTTTTTCTCCAGACTGGAATGATGGTAGGGAAAACACATTTGTCTTAGTAATGGGATGAGAGTCAAATATTTAGACATTTCACAAACTTGTTTCAGGAGTTTTCTTTTTACGGTTCAGTTTACTTTTTTTTTTAATAGAGTTGAGAAATTTTGAATACTAGAGTTCAGTTGTACATCTTTCAGGGAAATGCCATTCTCCTTTTTGTTTGTGTGCTCTTCTCACAAAGTTTGCTTTGCCCGTTGGCTGCCGACAGTCCATTGAGGCAAGAGAAGGGCAAAAGTCACAGTCTGTTTTTCTTCTCTCCGCAGTGGAGCTCCAAGAAACTGAATTCTGTCTTACCATAAAATGTGTCGTGTTTATTTTTTCAGAAAACAACCCAAAAAATAAAGCGACTGACTCTTGCAGCGAGGCATTTTCTCAGTCGTATTGTTCATGGGAAGGCGAGGGATGTCCAGGATGAGGGGGACTGGTTGTTGAAGCTGTTCCAACGTCATAAAATCCTAAAGTCCATCTTCATTCTGTATGGTCAGCAAACCCACTTATAGACTCGCAATTTAGGTCCATAAGTTTCTGCAACGTCTTTACATATATTTATAGTTATATAGAACAGAGTTCAACTGGTTTGCTGGAGTTTTTTTCTGTTTTTTCGGCGATTAGTAACTGTGAGGAGGTGACAGTTTCTATGCTGGCCCACACCGGGGTATCTCAGCACCCCCTCCCCAAAACACACGACACACATCTGTTGGAACAAAAGACCAAAGGGGGTTTTGGCCTCAACAAGTTTTTGGTGGCTAAACGTACAAGTTAGCATCTGTTACGTTGGAGTGGTGGTATCTCACATAGTTGCTACTTTTAACGTTATGATCATCAATTGTCATCGTTTAAAAAAATTTTGTTCATTTTTTTCGTTTAAACTCCACAAAAAGAAAAACAGTTGTTTTTTTTAAATCTCATTTTCATAAATGAATACTACATGCTTGAAACATGGCAGAGTTCGCGTTGCATCAGTTGCTCAGCAACGTAGACAAGGAGAGAAACAGGGTGCTCCATCCATCGAGAGGGAGAGAGAGAAAACCTTTCCTGAGATCTAGTGATAAAAGATGTTGGAAAACACAAACGTTGAAGAGCCAAATTTGACTATTTCTTTTAAAATGAGGGTATAATAATGTCACAAAGGGATACTAAGTTGCTCTTTTGAGCCTAGTTAGAAAATTATTTGCTGATGTTTTTACTCCTTTGATCTTCACATCATGCTAGACCTTTGCAGTACACAAATACTGTTCTTTTTATTTCCTACAGTACTGCAGATTTTTAATTTCTTTTAAATTGCTAATTCATAAATCACGGACTAACAGTCACTTGCTAAATAGTTATTGGCACAGTACATGTTGAAATTGTAGCACCCTTTTCTTAAATAACACCAGGGTTAACATTTAGTCACAATTGTCCAAATTATTAGAAGCAATAAACAAAGGTCTGAACGTTGTATGATGCCATCTTCCTTTACTGCCTATTTCTGATAAGAGTAATTAAAGGTAACTTAAATAGCTTCGTGACAATACTGAGTTTAAAATAATTTAGCCAGTTTGTGTTTGCTGTTGAGGCACTGCCTTCTCTCTCTCCATCTTTCTCTTGCCTCTTTCCTTATCTAAGTGCATCTTCTGTGTGTCTCTGCAATGGTAGCACTTCCTCAGACGTAGTACTCCTTGTCTTTGTTCTTCTTGTTCTTGGTGACAGTTTTGGCAGTGCTGGGTTGCTTCTCCTTTACCAGAGCCCCGTTGCTCTGTGTTGCCGAGTTGCTGATGTAGTTGCGACTTTGGTCTACCTGATAGGAGCCCTCGTCTCGGTTGCGGTACTTGTACATGGCGTAGAGCAGGATAAGGATGCAGAGGGCTGCGGCGGCTACGATGCCCACCACCATCCCAGTGGTGCTGCTGGACTGCTGCACCTCGACGGCGCCAGGAAGTCCTCTCTCAGGAGATGTAGGATCTGGAGTAGGAACATGGGGGAAATTTGGGGGGTAGGTTATTCCTGGAATTCTGCGGTGGCCCGGATCTAACGAGGGGTGGGCTGGTGGCAGCAGCACCCGATCCCGGTTGTTCATTTTGCCTGCAGGGATATTGTTGCTACTACTGCTGCTGCCACCAGCAGCTGGCTTGATGTGAGGATTGAGTTGGTCTGGGTTTGCGGTGGGGGTGGAGGAGAAAGGTGGGCGGTGGGAGATGGGGTACTGAGAGAAATGGCGGTCTTGGGGGTTCTGAACACCACCCTCAACTGCTGGGGGAGGAGGGAGGACAGTCCTATCAGTGACCAGGGCGAAGTTTTTATAATAGTCCTCGTCATCTGTCTCAGTCATCTCCCCAGAACCATAAGCCGACACCTCAATGGTCTCCTCACAGTCCTCTTGGTCCAAGGGGCAGGGGGGCCGACCATTGGGCAAGGAGACAGACTCTTTGGTGGTTTCAAGCAAGGTGAGGAAGGGACGGTAGGTGGTGGGGGGCGGGGGGAGTACTGGGTAGTGAGTGGCAATAGATGGGGGGTCTAGGGAATCCACCGTTATAATGGGCAACACTAATTCACCTCCTAGGACAAGAAACAGACAGGGAAGGAAAATATGTTAGAGGCCATTTGAGAGAGGGAGCCCACCTCCAGACAACAAAAGAACAATTCAAATGAATACAGCAACACCAGTATTAGAACAGCACTATAGCTTAACATGAAGTTAGTTACACATGTCTAATATGTTCTACTTCAGAAATACACTAACTAGATCTGATCTGCAGTATTGTAATACATTATATAGTAAAATACTGTTTCTGTCTCTGACTGCTCTGTCCTGTTTCTGTTAGACCTAGAATGTATCATTGAAGCTATATGAAGGTAGACACTAAACAACACTTGAAATTTAACATATATTGGATTATAAAACCTATCCTTAACTACTATCTTCCTATAGTCTTACTACACTAACCCTAACTCAGGTGTTTCTGCTGTGAATGGCTAAATAAGATAGCAAACCACGAGGTTCAGGTCACTTACATCAACAAATTGGCCGCATGATTTTTGCATGAAAAAAAAAATTACAAAAGAAAGCTGTGTAAGATTGTTCTCGAATAGTGATAAACATGCCACCCCCCACCCACCCCCAACCCCACCCCAGCTTTACCTCCTCTTTTTTCATTTATTTCTTGTAAAAATAAAATAAAGTCATATTCAGCAGTTCAGCAATTTCTGCTCCCCCACTACCAACCCAACAATCTTTCATTTCCCATCCCCAAATATTCTTATGAAGAATTGTTTCAATCCCATTTTCTCTTTTTGCCATGATGGAGTGAAATGCTTATTTCTAGGACAGGCTTCATAAAACTGATGTCCCTCTTTTTTAAACACGAACTTTGTGTTAGCTACAGTACACCAAGGCCGAATCCCATTTCATTCATTCCTTTCATATTTTACATTTTGTGACTTCACATTAAGAGCATTCTCTTTCTTATAGTAATGTAAAGCGAAGGTGAATGAGCCTTTAAAATATTATAAACTATTACAATGAAGAGGTATTACCTTAAGAAAATGCTCACAATTGCAAGTGTTTCTTTGTCACAAATTTTCTAACAGGCACAAAACTATTGTAAAGTCTAATTTGCTATGTATTAATGTCCTATGTTTGATATTTATTGCCAAATGTGAAAAAAAAGGCAAAAATATAATCACATTTTTCTGGTAAAATAATTTTTTTCAACAACTATTGTAAAGTCTAGTTTGAATCATTCTAATGTATAAAATTTGCTCTTACTTTTGTTCTTTCCTAAAAAAATAATAAAATAAATTTGTCTGCAAAATTTGTCACTGGTTAGATTACCAGTTTTACACACAATACAGTAAAGAAATCAAGGTTGTCACTTCCGCTGTACTTCAAAAGGATATGGGCATGGTACCTTGTAGAACATCTTTTGGACTCTAAAGCCAATATCTAACTGAGTTGCAGCTGTTTAGGAAGTAGATAGGAATTCTAAATTGAATAATATAAATGAGGAGAAAATAGGCAAACTTTCAGTTACAGTCTCTGAATTCTAAATGTCTCGGACCAAGTGATCAGTGAGTCATGTAGCTACGTTTAGTGCAGATAGTTTTTCTTTTTAAACCATGACCTATAGTTGATGCTACAACAAATTTGAAGCCATTTTAAGAGAAAATTATTTGCACAATTTTTTGAGCATGTTTAAAATTCAAGTTTTATCACTTAAACTCTTCATGAGACCTTGAAACTTGTGAAAATTTAAAGAAAATTGTAATATTTTGTAAATTCTCAAATTAATGTCATTTAGCATCATCTCCAACAGTTGCAATCCAGTGAGATACAGGTTTTAAATATATTCCATTGTGTATTTTGCACTTTAAATAACAAAAAAGTACCTTTGGATACCATGGGATTTGTATTGTTAAATGTGTAAATAATAGATACAAAATAGACCATTATTTAAGGTTCTATGCTTGTCTCCTTTAAGGATCATCTGAATGTATTGCATTAGTCAATCTTTTAATTTCTTACTGTGGGACCTAAGTCTTTAAACATACATTGAGCAGTACCTTTATATTGTGTTTTACTCTGCAGATTGTATGTTGTTTTTCCATTAAAAACCTTTGATGGACAAACAACATTCAAATCAGGAAAACTTGCCCGGAGAAGGAAAACTAGGGCACCCCCCTGGAGCCAGGCCTGGGGGAAGCTTATTGGCAAGGGTCTGGTGATTGAGACTCAGCCCCTGGGCTTGATAAGGTCAAGCTCGAAAGAAAAACAGGATGCCACCTCCTAGTGGACCCACCATCTGCGAGGACTGTCAAGGTCAGGTTCAATGCATGCAACTGATCACCACCTGATGGTGAGATGGATCTGGTGGCAAGAAGGCTGTTGGATAATCCTAGTAAACCCAAACACATAGTGAGGGTGAAATGGGAACATTGTTAGAGCCCTATTTCTTCATCAACTCACACCTCCAAGAGTTTAACATGTATCCCTTGGGTGGTTGGGGACATGGAATGAGAATGGGCTATGTTCAGGGCCTCACTTACAGATGCAGTTTCCAGGAGCTGTGGCCTGAAGGTCACTGTTGCCTGTCGCTGTGACAACAAAATTATCTGCTGGAGACTGTCAACCTGAGGAAGGAGTCCATCAGAGCTTGGCTGTCACAGAGAACTCCTAAAGGAGGTACTGTGTGGCCAGGACAAAAGCTTTGGTGGTTGTGGAAGCAAAAACTTGGGCACAGGAGGAATTTTGGAAGGTTCTATAGAAGGACTTGCAGAAAGCCTTGAGGAGGTTCTGGCAGACTGTTCAGTGACTCAGAAAAGTAAAGCAGGCCCTATTTTAGGCTGTGTTTGCTTTGGGTGGGGAAATGCTGATCTGGATTGAGGATATTGTTGAGTAGTGGCAGGAGCACTTTGGAGATCTTATTATATCTACCATGTTCACCTGTGAGGAGTGAGTTTGAGGACTCAGCAGAGGTCACCAAGGTAGTCAAAAAGCTCCTCGGTGGCAGGGTACCAGAGGTAGACTAGATTGGCCCCGAGATGCTGAAGGCTTTGAATGTTGTACAGCTGTCATGGTTGACACATCTCTTCAATGCTGCATGGAGGACTGGGATAACACCCGTAGAGTGGCAGCCCTGGGTGGTCTTTTTAAATGGGGGACAGGAGAATGTGGTCCAACTATTGTGACTCACACTTCTTGCCCTCCCTGTGAAAGATAATTTCAGGGTGTTGGAAGGGAGGCTCTAACCGATTGTCGAACCTCTGATTTAGGAGGAGCAGTGTGGCTTTCATCCTAGTCCTGGAAAGTGGATCAGATCTTCACCCTTGCACAGTTGCTCATGGGGTCATGATAGTTTGCCTCTCCCATTTATGTTTTGTAGACCTGGAGAAGGCTTATGACCATGTTTTCTGAGATATACTGTGGGGGGTGCTGCGGGAACATAGGGTGTCTGGGTTGCTTCTAAGGGCTATCTGGTCCATATATAACCAAAGCAGGAGCTGTGTCTGCCTTCTTAGCACAAAGTCTAACTTGTCCTTGACAAGGAGAGACTCAGCCAGGGCTGTTTCTTTTCTCCAATCCTGTTTGTAGTGTTCATGGACAGGATCTCAAGGTACAGTCATAGAGAGGAAGGTGTTTGGTTTGGGAACATCAGGGCCTCATCTCTGCTTTATGTAGATGATGTGGTTCTGTTGGCACTTTCATGCCAAGACCTTCAGCATGCACTGGGGTTGTTCACAGGTGAGTGTGAAGCAGCTGGGATGAGTCAGCTCCTCCAAGAGCCATGGTTCTTAACTGGCAACAGGTAGAATGGCCTTTTCGGGTCAAGCGGGAGTCTTTGGTGGAGGAGTTTACATATCTTGGTGTCTTATTCATGAGTGATGATAGGATAGAGTGAGAGATGAGTTGACAAATCAGGGCCTCATCCTCAGTAATAAGGGCATTGCTTCAGTAGGTCATGGTGAATAAAGAGTTGAATCAAAAGGAAAAGCTCTTGATTAACTGGCCTTTCTTCATTCCAGTCCTCACCTATAGTCATGAGGTTTGGATCATCACCGAAAGAATGAGATCCTGCATACAAGCGGACAAAATGAGCGTCCTTCACAGGGTGGCTGGGCTCAGCCTTAGAGATAGGGTGAGGGGCCACATCATTCAGGGGGTAGCTTGGATTAAAGCTGCTGCTCCTTCACATTGAAATGAGTCAGCTGAGGTGGTTTAGCCAGCTGATTAGGATACCTCCTGGATGCCTCCTTTTGGAGATTTTCCAGGCATGGCCCTCTGGTAAGAGTCCCCAGGAAAAACACAGAACTTGCTAGGAAGATTGTGAATTTTCTCTGGCCTTGGAATGCTTTAGGGTTCCCTGGGCAGATTTGGAGAGTGTTTCTAGGGAGGAATGTCAGGGTTTCTCTCCTGGACTTGTTGCTTCCTCAACCCGACCACGGCTAAGTGACAGAATATAGAGATGGTGATATATTGACTTCTTGAAGGGGTGTCCCGTGAGGTTCCACGGGGGATTACAACAAAGTGATGCAATCTTCGGGCTTTCTTAGATAGATATCTTAACTCATTGCCATTTTCTAATTTATGTGATAATTTTAGACAATAACCTGAGATAACATTTATTGTGAATTGACACTTTATTGAATTTATGCAGTGAACTAGTTTAATCACTTCACTTTGTGACTTTCAGTTAAGATAAACACTTAGCCTTACCCCTTTCCTAGGGGCAAGGCTAGGAAATGAGATTCGGCCTACAGCACAAATAATTTTGCCGTTTTTTTTTTATGTCTACCCCCCTAACCCACTTTAATATAAAACATACAAAAACAGGAGGTAGTATCTTTCCTCTTAAACAACAACTTACTGTTAAAATAGTCTTAATGCACTGTTATTTCCTGTCTAGATGGAGTTATGTATTGTGAAATTAATATCCCCAGAGATTTTTGTGTATAAAATGAAATAAAAAGATAAATTGGATAGAAACTGATCTGGTAAACACATCAGGAAGCATAAGAGTACAAAGCAGAACATCAACACCGGCCTTTTTCTGGTCGATGTG